GATCGTACATGTCCTTCGCGGACACTTTGATGCGGATCGGGGCCCACTCACTCCCCACGCCTTGTGCGGCGACAGTGTACGCCTGCATCGCGCCCTGTCCTCTGCGCGGCACATCACGCACCACCGCAGTCGCCGGCGGTCCCCTCCCCATCATCTCGCCAAACCCCCAGCGGTGCTTCCGGGCGGGAGCGACGGCGAGGCACCCAGCGGCGCAACACACCAACAGCAGCAAAAACACCGCCAGTAGGAGAAACGGCGTGCCGCGGCGTGGCTGGCACATCGCCTGAATAAACTGCCCGTGTTGCTTCCGTTTGAACATCAGCAGCGGCATTATTAGTGGTGGCAGTAGTAGCAGTAGTAGTGGTGGCGCAGGCCTTTTAGGCGGGGAAAATAAAAAAATAAAAAACAAAAATAAAAGAAAAAAGAGCAAAAGACTTACAACGAACATAAAACAACAAAACCAATCAAACTCTTCCAACTCGGTGTACACGGCATGAGGCACACGCTGCCCCCGCCTTAGCCAGGCCCTTCAGCGACCGGCATGTTTGCGTCGCACTGCCGCGGCGCAGCGGTCATGCGGCCAGTGTCGTCTGTCAGTTCCCTGCTCCTGTCGGACACTAACTGCAGCTGCAGGTACGCCTGCCACGCGTCATGTCTGCCCCGCCCCCTTGCACCTTCGCCACAACCACACTGCAGCAACGCACCACGCCGCGACGTGAGTTCCACGCCCAACACCACGCGACAAACAAAATACAAACCGGGCACACTCCCGAGATGCCGTGATCCCGCCGCAACGTGTGCCGCGCAATGCCCACCGCGTGACACACAAAGGCGTCGAGGCCCCGGCAGCCGCAGCACAGCACCGCGCCTCCCATGAGTGCCCCAATCCGTAGCAGCGCGCCTCTGCAGAGCAAACCGCGCCGTGGGCTTCCGGAATGTGGTTCCGACGACCGCATAGAAGGCTCGTTCACACGCCAAGAGAAGAAGAACTGCGTCCCTGCCTGCAATCCCAATCACACTACTCACGTAGAGTCCATCCCCGCTGCGTCGAAACATTGACGCCGTCATCAGGAGCAGCACCGGCGGCGCGAGTCGGTCCGCAACAACCCGCAACGGACAGAGACAAGTCTGATGTCAACGCGAAGGCAACGGCCTCCGGCACACACCCATCAACGCTGCCAAGTCCCTGTCGTAGCTCGCGTCATTTGGCGGCAGCGTTCCCCAAGACCGTGCTCAAAAAATGCGCGGCTGCGGCACTCTGCGAGTGCACTCCAAACCCCCGCACGCACGCCGCTCCGGTCGGCACGGAGGCGGCACCCGAAGATGACACGACAACCGCAGAAAATCCCACTGCTCGCCTTCGGCTCCCCTCCCACCAGCGTCCCAGCTGCCCTTCAGCTGCAACCACAACAAGAGGGAAGCAAAGCGCACACCACAATGCCGCTGCACTGGCAAGCAAACCGCACGGCAGCACCACACCACCCAGCACTAGCAATCATTTGCCCCTCCACATACCTCACTTACCGTCGTCCCAAAAACACACACACACAAGGGAAGCATCATTACGCAAAGCCAAGGCAAAATTAAAAACAACAAAACTCTGAATGCAAGCGGGGTCCCTCGCACACACACAAACACCGTCTGAGACAGCGGAAGAGGCGCAGTCAACCAAAACACCCAAATAAAGAGAGACGCAAAGAAAAAGACTGCTCAAGGAATCAGCACCATCCCTTAAAGAAAAAAAAAAGCGACAAAAAAGGTTCTGCGCGTTCCTCAGCGTATGCCTTAGCGACAGCCCAGAGCAGCAAGCGGCAAACCACAGCAAGCTCCAAGGGCCCTTTCCCTTCTACAGCACACTGACAAAGTGAAAGCGCCGGCAGCTCCCACTCCGCCTTCCGCGTTCGTCTCCGCAGTGCACACGTTGCTTGTTCCGCAACCCCGCAATGGCCTCTCCGCCGAACTGTCGTCGGACGCCACGCAGCCCTACGCTGAATTTCTCCGCAGCTACCGCTAAATTTCACCGACGGCAGC